TTTTTAAGTAAAGTTAACTTAATTCATTTTTTTCCTTGTTTTTAGTGGGAGATTTTGATAAGATCTGGCGAGAACATTGTGAGGATGAGGAAACACTTTGTGAATATGCTGTTGCAATGAAAAATTTGGCAGATAATCATTGGGCAAAAACTTGTGAGGGCGAAGGTCGTATTGAATGGTGTTGTAGGTGAGTGTTTTTATGAACTGACATTTTTGGTTTTAAATGTATTGTTGACAATCTCAAATTTATAAAATGCTTTGTGTAATTTATTGTACCAGCATAAGTGCTTTAAAACAGATGATGTCTTTTAAACAACTTCTCCCACCTTGTTTCACTTTCCCTAGGTTTATTTCATTCATCTTTTTTTAATCAAAATGTTTTTCTTTGACATAACTGTAAATTTCCTGTGTCAACTTTTTAAAAGTATAGCTTTAAATACATTTAATATACTTAAACATTACTATGATAAAATATTAGATTTAACACTACTTATCATTAATTAGTTATAGTATAGACGTTTCTTTGGGTAAATATTCATATTTGAATTCAAGCAAAAGTGAGCACTTTTCTATAATTTAGAATTTGGAAACATCTTAAAAGTTGTAAAATCCTAAATTTTGATAGGTTATTCAGGGTATTCCAGCACTATATTAATTTTGGATAATGTTTATTTTCTCATAGTATAGATTCTAATATTAAAAACATCAGAAAAATGAAATATTGCTGATCAATTCTCTCAAAATGGTAAAATTATAAGAATGAATATGTATATCACGTGAATTTTAAAATGAATTCCCAGAACACAAAGCATTATCTTTCTGCATGGACAATAAATTTACGATAACCTCAGGTTTATAGTTCATTTCAGTTATTGTTTATTCAAAATTTCTGTGTTAACCTCATTTTAAAATTATGTAATAGAGCCTATTTCATTCATTCAACAATGATCCAGAGAAAAATATGTATTTAACTTACTTTTTTTATTTACTCATTTAATAAATAGTTTTTAATGTTGTCTCCTTTGTGCTATTCGCATCATAGACAGAGGGAATACAACAATCAACCAAGTGGACAAAATCCTTGCTCTCATGGAGCTTACATGCTAGTGGGAGGTAGAAGCAAGAAACAATATGTAAATTAAATATATATTAGGTCAGAAATGGTAAGTGTCATGAGGAAAATAAAGTAAGGAAAAATAGAAGTTTTAAGTAGGGAAGACAGAGAAGGCCTCATCGAAATGATATGTGTAAAAGACCCAAAGGAAGTGAGAAAGCAAGCCCTAACAAGTCCAAGGACCTTAAGGCAGTGGCATGCTGGCATGTTTCAGAAATACCAAGGAGACCCCCGGGGTCCTAGAGGCGAATGGAAGGTGGGAGCATGGTAGAAAATAAAATTTTCTAGGGTCTTCTGGACCATTGTAAAGACAATTGGCTTTTATTCTGCATGAGATGAGAAGTCATTCAATGCTTTTAAGTAGAGGAGTGACAGGATTTTATTAGCCTTTTAAAATGTGTCAAGAATTCATTAAGAATTAATTGTGTTAAGATATAGGAACGGCAAGTATATAAGATAAAGGAAACCAGTTAGGAGGCAATAATCAAGGCACAAGAGTTAAAGCAAAACAGTTTTACTTGGAGAGTGAGGAAGTGAATGGATAGGACAGTGTAGGATCAAAGCTCAAATGAGTATAATGACTTAAGAGAGGGACAGATGATGGTGGACATACTGGTGATTATGATGATATGTGAGAAGGGTGTTGAATTTGAGGTGGGCGGGGAGCAGCGAAAATATGATATCGATTGTGGAATCAGAATTGTGGAGAGTTGGGGGACTATAGGAAGGGGCCAGAATAATGGGAAATAGGATGTTGGAATTAAAATGTTTGGAATTTTTTTTTATTGTTATTTGGTTCTAGAGAGAAAATGCTTATAAATATGACAGAACATGCATTTTTTTCCCTCAAGCTAAGAAATACAAAATGAGGTATATTGCTGAATGAAATACTTTCCTTGTAACACAAAATAATAATGTAATCCATTCAGGGAATCAGCACCATCACTATTTAAGACCATCATTCTTGGCTGTTAGCAGCACTGCTTTTAAATTGGCATTCCAGTACATAAGGCAAGCTCTCAGACATTATTTCTTTAATGGACTTAGATATTCTCAGAGGAGTATTCTCATAGGAGTATTTGCTTGTACCTTCCACATGGATAATGAACCTGCCTCATATTTCACTCTTCTTTCTTTTTCCTTAGATATATGTTTTTATCGTTATTGTATCTGCATGTATTCTGAAAGAGGTCATTTTTAGGTCAAACTGCTGAAGAAAAACAGTGGCAAAATATGGTAAAAAGATTTTACTATGGGAAGTAATCCCAAGAGGAGTTTTACTTTAAACTTAAAAGTAGGTTGGGGGGAAAAGTCTTCAAAACAATATTGAATTTTGAAACTTGACTTATCTGTAATTCTAGCTTGGGTTATATGTAATTCCTTCCTGTGTTGTCAATTCTATGAAAGCATTTTTACTTTGAAAGCTAAAATGGGTTGACAAAATTTGTTTCAGGTTACTATACTTACAACTTTGTAGGAATTTGGAACGTGAGATAAGCCTTAGTGACATTACCCTGCTAAGATTTTGTTGACTGGTTAGCTTGAAGAGTTTTACATAAGATTTCCTTCAAAAAATAATAAAATTTTGTCATGTGAAGTATTAAAAACTAGAAGCAAACACAATATAAAAGTATAGTTGTACATTTAATAAAAGAATCGATCTTTTCTAACTCTACACAGAGAAACATA